GGAGGGTTGTTAAGCAGGAGGCTTCTGAGCTAGGAATGTAGGGACTGGAAAGGTTTGTGAGCTGGGTTAGTTGTGGGTGTCCACTGACAAGCCTAACAATACAGGAGAGAGAAGAGAAGAATGAATTAGAATTATTTTTTAAACATAAGAATTACAGTTCTCACAGATGAGGTAAAAAATAATTAACAACAAGATGGCCAGAGTAGAAATTTTGAAAGGATGTAAAAATTGTGGAATAAACTTGAGGTCAGTACAAAAGAGAAATGTGGAAAACAGGAGAGGAAATGAACATAAGGAGGTTTAAATCCTACCTGCCACAAAAAAAGAAAAAAAGAAGATTAAAACAATAATGTGAAAATACTTGTAAGCTATAAGGATGTGACTTTCCAAAGTGAATAAGATGATCAATGCCCAGGACAATGGGTGAAAATGAACCCACTAAGGTACATTATTGTTCAATTTCAAGATATTAGAAGCCAAAAGATGTAAAAATAATGACAGGAATCAAATTGGTCAAACCTCCTAAACTACAAGAGCAAAAAGAAACCAGTGAACATGCCTTTACATTTCTGAAAGAATGACTTGCAAACTAGAATCCCACACTCACACTATCCAATCTGCAAGTTCAAAACTGTTCCCTTCCAGCAACATAGTCTCTTAGGACACTGCTGGAGAATGCTTCCTGAGCAGGATGAAATGAAGCCAATAAAGAGGAAGACGTTAAGCCCAAGATCTCACCTACAACAAGTTGTACCAGAAAGGAATCATAATCTAACTACTTCAGGCATTCATTCAAGTGTAAATATTAACTGCTGGTTTAATATGTCTTTTCCCCCTAAAGACAGAGGAAGAATGAAAGAGGAGAAATATATGGATGAGAGACAGTGTTTTGTGTGTATGTGGGTTTCTGGGAAAGGGCATCAAGATTCTTATTTCACTTAACAAAATCAATAGTTGATATATGAAGTAAAAATAATCTTGACATGTAGCAACAGGGAGATGTTAAAAGTATGATGGGAAACTGGGCACAACGGCACACACCTGTAATCCCAGCACTCCAGGAGGCAGAGGTGCAGAGTGCACAGATCTCTGTGAATTCAAGCGCAGCCTGGTCTACAAAGTAAGTCTAGGACAGCCAAGGCTAAACAGAAAAACCAACCAACCAACCAACCAACCAACCAACCAACCAACCAACCAACCAACCAAACCAAACCAAAATTATGATGGGAGCTGGAGAGATGGGTCATCTTCCAATGGACCCAAGTTTTAGTTCCAAGCAGCGATATGATGGCTCACAACTGCCTGTAACTCCATTTACTGGGGCTCTTATGTCCTCTTCTAGCCTCCTTGGGTCCCCACAATTATGTGGGATATACTCACACAGTAAAACAAAATGACAAATAAATAAATAAAAATCTTTCAATCAATGATGATACGACTGCTAAAACCTTGGGAATAGCTGCTTCTGTGGAATAAGTATGGAGTACTTGGAGATTACAGGCCTTTATTAATTACTATGCAGTGCCATATGATTTTTAAACTATTTATATTATTAAACAAAAAATATTAAGGTTGGTAGTATGGTAGTACAATACTTGCCTAGAAAATGTGAAGCTCTGTGTTTAAGTGCTGGTACCACAGATGCACATTAATCATTAAACAAAACAGAGTAGACAGATCTAAACAACTTTTAGGAAAATTTAAATCATAAGTACAACAATGGTGGAGAGTATCATTTTTATATTAAAAAAATGCCAATCAATCTGGCACTTTCTCAGAAAATTAGGAATAATGCTACCTCAAGATCCAGCTATACCACTCCTAGGCATATATCCAAAAATGCTCATGTATACAACAAGGACATTTGCTCAACCATGCTCATAGCAGCTTTATTCGTAATAGCTAGAATCTAGAAACAACTTGGATGTCCCCCAACTGAGGAATGGATACAGAAATTGTGGTACATTTACACAATGGAATACTACACAGCAATTAAAAACAAGGAGAAATCATGAAATTTGCAGGCAAATTGTGGGAACTAGAAAAGATCATCCTGAGTGAGGTATCCCAGAAGCAGAAAGACACACAGGGTATATACTGACTTATAAGTGGATATTAGCCATATAACACAGGATAAACATACTAAAATCTGTACACCTAAAGAGGTTAAGCAAGGAGGACGACCCTGGGTAAGATGCTCAATCCTCATTCAGAAAGCAAACAGGATGGACATTGGAATAGGGAGAAGGCAGGGAACAGGACAGAAGCCTACCACAGAGGGCCTCTGAAAGGCTCTACCCAGCAGGGTATTGAAGCAGATGCTGAGACTCATAGCCAAACTTTAGGCAGAGTGCAGGGAATCTTATGAAAGAAGGGGGAGATAGTAAGACCTAGAGCAGACAGGAGCTCTACAAGGAGAGCAACAGAACCAAAAAATCTGGGCCCAGGGGTCTATTCTGACATTGATAGGCCCAAGCATGGAGATAACCTAGAACCCCTGCATAGATGTAGCCCATGGCATCTTAGTATCCAAGTGGGTTCCCTACTAAGGGTAAAAGGAACTGTCTCTGACATGAACTCAGTATCTGTCTCTGACATCACCTCCCCCTAAGGGGGGAGCAGCCTTGCCAGGCCACAGAAGAAGACAATACAGCCAATTCTGATGAGATCTGATAGGCTAGGGTCAGATGGAAGGTGAGGAGGTCCTCCCCTATCAGTGGACTGGGGGAGAGCCATGGGAGGAGATGAGGGAGAGAGGGTGGAATTGGGAGGGGATGAGAGAGGGGGCTATAGCTGGGATAGAAAGTACACAAATTGTAATAAAAATTTTAAAAATATAGAAAAAGAAAAAAATGCCTACTGTATACACAGGTTCTCAGCCATAGTCATCCTATATAGTTACACAGAAAGTTCTGGGCAAAGCCATCAAACTTGAAGGAGCACAATTTCAAGGTGGAGGAAGAGATGGTGATAGCTGGGACCTGCATTCATTCTCAATATGCACTTCTGTGCCGATTTCTGTGATGGACTTTGAATGAGAGAGGAAAATGTTCATAATATACTATTAGGCAAAGAAACAACTTTATGGAGTTATACATTTAGTATGATCTCCATTGCATGTTGTTAAACAGTAGCTTCTAAATTTAGGGCTTTAAAAAAATAAATCAAAGGAATCTTTTTGTCTCAAGTATTACCCAACTCTCAATTTAAGCAGTGATAAATTAACCAGATCTAAAAACACAGAGCAGGCCCCACCACATCTATCTCCCTAGGGCTCCATGAGCACCCTCAGCGTTCTGGGCAGTACTGTCTGAAGGCTACAAAGAAAAGAAGACAAAGCTTGAGAAGCATTTCCTCTGAGATGAGCCAATCTGAGCACTCTTCTTTTATACATGCACACCTTTTATATAACCCAGAATGTTAAACATCCAAAAAAAGCAAATGAAACACTGATGGATTTATAGAGACAAGAGTGGAGATGGCAATGGGTTATTAATCTTCCCAAGTTATTCTCTATCCATATTACATTTATCTTAACTTCAGCCACACTTATCCAGAATTTTTTTTATTTCATACTTCAAAACTTTATTAGAGATGTTTATTTATCTTTTGAAGTTTTTAATTTTTATAATACTTTTTGGTTAAAATATAATGACAAAACTTTCTTCCTTCCCTTTCATCCCTCCAGCTTCTCCCAATTCCTCTTTTTATATTCTTAAAAGTCTTGGTTTGCAATTTTATGGTAACAGTAAATTAAATTATTTTTTTCTAGGTGTTGTTGTTGTTATTAGTCTTTTTCTGATCTCTTGAGCTGATTTTCTACAGTGCTTTATAAAAAAACTTAGAACCTTGCACACATTAAGCAAGTGCTATGCACTGTGCACTATGTACCTGGCCCTTTAATTTCTCGAATTCAAACTCAACTTCGTTGTTCTTAGAAAAGCATTCAAGGCTATGAAATTTCCTCTTTGGGATGATTTTGGCCACATCTCTTTAAATGGAAAGAAATTTTGGCACTGGCTACAGTAGAGATAAACTTAAAGGCATGTTAGGTAAAATAAGCCAGACACAAAAAAGACAAACAATATATAATTCCACTGACATTTGGCGCTTGAAAGTAGGCAACATTATAGTCAGAGAGTTGAATGATGTTTTCCATGCACTGAGGGTTGTTGCTTGCTAGGTCCAGAGCTACAATTTTGAAAGATGAAAAAATTCTGAAGACCAATAGGATATGAATGCACTCAAAACTACTGAACTTTATCCCCCGAAGAGAATAAGAGTTGATTTCATGCTAGTTATATTGTACCAAGCACCTCTCTGGTGGCTGCTTTAGGCTTTATTCTATGTTGTACGATTTATAATCACAATAAAATATTTTACAGATGTGCCCTAAGGTAGACAGGTTACTCTGCTAGTTCAGAGAGCAAACATAAACCTATGGATCTGTCACTTTACCTTGCTTCTTCTCAGCCCTTAGAAGGTGAAGATAGATGTTCTACTTCATTTACTATGTGCTTTCTGAGATGTAAACAGAAGTGTGGTTCTACATATGCACACCCACCCTAATAAACTTTCACATGGGAATTTCTTTGCTAAGAACATTTTATCTTATGATACTAGAAAGCAGAATCTAAGTCTCCATTGTGAGGAAATACCTTCAAATGGAGATTTTTGAAGTAGACAACAATGATCCTTATCATTGCTGCTAAGATGCTCTTCTAATAGGTGATTTTAAACTATGAAAAAGTGTCCTAAAAAGATCAGAATAAATTAATATCAACAGTCAATCAGTGATTACTTTTGAGAAATATAAAGAACTCTCCTCCTTGTGTCTGTACTTTGCAGATATTTTCAATTTGTTTTTGCTAGTATAACCCATTGTTCTTTTTATATTTGTTTTGGCATTCTATTATAATTATACTCGAAAACATAGCCATTTCGTTTTAAAAGATAAGCAGCAAACAAATAAATGTAATGCTCCTTTTCCAAGTACTCACATTCTCAGGTATGCTAGGAAGCTCTCTGGTATCAGGCACAGTGAAGTAAGAATGCTGGAAAAGAAAAAAAAAAAAAACAAAACACAAGCTGCACATTTTTTGAAGATCTAACTAGCACTTTGTTCCAAATTTAGGTAACTGTTCCTTAATCAGACGAGGAAGCCTTGTTTCTGTTGTAAGAAATATCCACATTAGAGCTGCTTAAGCTAATGCTAGATCAAGCTAGGAGCAGTAACTCATGAGCATGAGAATGAACGCCTTTGGGGAAGACGAACGAAAATTTCAAACAAGCTTTAAATCTAAATTTCCATGTGAAATTTGTGAATTTCTGAACATAAAAAAGTGGGAAGTTCTGTAATTTATTGTTCAATAAGGCAGTGGACTCTTAGAAACTAAACAATACAATAAACATTACAAACACTAAGTGACAGGATGTCCCAACCAATCCTGTCATTCCATTTCAGCATATGAGGTCACATCAGTCTACACTGTAGTAAAATAATCTGCTCATATGAAGCTCAAGACAGTTCCAGCCAAAGGCCACTCACTCCATCTGAAAGGGCTACATACAGTTGTTGTCAATGCACAATAAGCTCCCAACTTGCATTGTGATTGTCATGGTGCCCGGGTGAAGCTGAACACTTGACTTCAAAGACTTGGATGCAATGAGGCATCTCCATGTTTGTAACAAGCCCATATCTCCAAGTTAAATGAAAACTGGCTGAACTAATGCCACCTCCTTGGCTGCTTTTAAAGGCTCAGAATATAATGGTAAATGGCACTGGAAAGAGCCTCATGCTGGCCAATTAAAGATGGATTGTGAAAGGCCAGGAAAGGTCATGTGCAGAAAGGTTCAGCTCAGCCATGGCCTAAACTAAAATCCTTGCCCCCAACCCCTTACTCCTGGGTAATGGGAGAATAAGTAAGTTTCTAGAAAACTGAGTTGTATAGGTGTTGTAAAATAAAATGTCCTGGAGAGAAGCTCTACCTATGATGGCAACAATGAACTGGTAGTATGACACTCAAAAGATATTTATTGAACACCTGCTTATGGAAAACTTTGTATTAAAAACTTTATAAGCATCACTTCTAATTCCCATAATTAAATTTGAAGACAGATATTATTTGCATATTACAAATAGACAAATTAATGTTCAGAGAGGCAAATAGTCCAAGATCATTCAGTGAGTATGCAGAGTAACTAGGTCATGTAACTAACCATACCCAGGCCCTTTCCACTGTATCAGACTCTTTACGCCTGTGCACTTATGCACACAAACTTGAGTAAGCATTTCATACATGAGACATTTAGCCCACAAAAATTGATACTTTACCTTACTTACTACTTTTATTTTGACATAGGGTTTCACTATGTAGCTCCAGCCAGACTAGAACTTGCTATACAGACCAGACTGGGTTTGGGCCTTGCATTAATCCTCCCTACTTCTGCTTCCAGAATGTTGGGATGACAAGCATGCACCACCACACCCAGATTAACAAATCAATTCTATTATACAACTATTATCATTCAAATTGCTAGTTTGCATTTTTACTCTTCTCAGTTTCCTAGATCAGATACACAGGAACATTGTCTTATAGAAGGTGGTTAAAGACATAAGACCCAGGCTTGGCATCTCACCAGTATTTTAGGATTTCTATTCCAAATGAGACACTAGCTCTTCAAAATAGAAATGCATTTTGGGAAGAAGAACATCTAGTGAAGGGGTGGGGAGGATCTGCCTTTACAGATGCAATGGATTGTAAAGAGTGAGCCAGCATAACTCCAAACCAACCAGTCCCCAGGCTGTCCTTTGAGATTTTGTCTTGCTCCATTGCCCATGAAATGCTGGGGACCAGAGGAGGTCAGAAACATTCCTAGAATCCATTGGAATGAAACAGCTGCACACCCAGTAATTCCTTCTGCCCCCAAGATGGCTTGTCCTTGAGGCCTGACAGCCTGCTGCCTGTGCAGACATTTAGGGAAGGAGTGGCCCTTCCTCCCAGGCAGCTGGTGACCTAGCCTAGCAGCTCTACAGCTACCTGTCGGATGTCATTACAGGCTGAAGCAGTGAGATCAAGCTGTTTAGGAAAAAAGACTGAGACAAAGGCAGGTTGCTCTGCTTCAGTGATGGCTGGATCTAAAGCTCACTTGCTCATCTTTTCTGGCAGTCCCTACCTCCCTATGAGCAAATCTTCTATAAGTAAATTCCTTTCCTCCTTCCTGCTTCTCACCTCACTCCCTGCCTCTGTCCTTTCTTCCTATTAGCTTGGAATCACAAAATCTAGCACATCATTTCTAAATTGCATGACTTTATATGTATACCCTTTCCTCTCTAAACCTTTCCTCTATGACATGAGCATGTTAATGCCTACATTGGGAACAATTTTGAACATCAGAGGTGTATATTAGTATAAATTACAAACGTAAAATAGATTTGTTATTGTTATTATTACTGACAATACTGTAGCTTTTGCTACCATTCTTGTAAGACCCATTGGCTTCCTTTATGAAGTCAGATACCTTCCTTATCCCCGAAACCAGCATTGTTTCTGCTTCTTGAGAAGCTGGAAGAGAAAACTCTAACCTGCCAGGCCTGTGGGATAGGAAGACAGGTCTGCATGATAATGGCTGCCTGGCCAAAGGGTATCTACCACAAAATTCTGATAAAGGCAATGAGAGTTTCCATTTAAGAGATAAAGAATTTAGTAAATGAATTATGGAAAAGATTCTACACACCTCTTCTGATGTCTTATGTGACGGATAAGGAAGCTGAGCCCACATAGTTAAAGGTCTTGATTTAAGTCACTTCAATCACTAGTAAAACAGACAACTGGAACAGAGATTTCCCATCAGGTGGCTCAGAGGAATTTCTAACTTGGCACACTGCACAATGTACAGGATGTACCTCAAAGCACTTGAAGAAATAATGAGTGCTGTAAGCTAGAACTAGATGAGTACTCTCACTCTATCTTCAAGGAATAGAGACTGGGAACCAGCTTACTCTGACAGGATGGAAATAAGTCTCCAGGAGCATGTAAGGGGACTTGGGAGTTAAAGAGAAAGGTTAATTCAGCCTGCGGGGTCAGGGGAGAATTTCTCGGAAATAGTATCAGAATAGTTCTGAAGGGCACATGAGTTAACAGGCAAACAGGAGAGTGGTAGTGTTGAAGACTGAGGGTCTAGAATGCACTTTGACTGTGACAAAAGGTGATGCAGGTGGCCAAAGACACGGTATAAAAAGGCTGACAGGTCCAGCCACCCTATTCCTTGAATCTGTGACTTAGAACATGAGTGGTCATTTGAAAAGCATCTATTCTTCAGAATCCCAGGAAGAGGGAGAGCCAACACCCCAGCCTGCCTTGAACCTGGGGCTCAAACTAAGTAAGAGTGTGGCTCTGACCTCCTCTGAAGGTCCATACAGACTTGCTTAAGTGGGGTAGCCACCATCTTGACCCACTTACCACGCTGAGGTGAACAGCCTCTCCAGGGTCAGGGATGGGAAGTCTGTGCAGAGTTTCAAGAAGTTCATTCCACTGACTTTCCTGAAAGAAAGAAAGAAAAGGCCCAAGTGACAAAAGCTGGGACCTGTGTTAAGGTCTAGATCCACAGAGAGACAGGTGGGAGAGACTGGCCCCAAGATAGAAATAGGTTTGATATTCAAGTAGGGTTGGATAAAAGACACTGCTTATGGCTTAAACACAAGAGCCAAACTGATCCTCCCACATCAAGTTTGACATTTTCTATTCAGTGAGACACCTACCATGACCACCTTTTATGGATCACATACCATAAGCTCTCAGCAAATCTATCCCTTCAACTCCATAGCAACAACTTCTAAATGCACACAATCTGAGCTTCCAGGACGGGGGTGGTTGGGAGAAATAACAATGACACTGTGGATCTTGTCTTCATCATCATTACCCTCAATTTATTTATTGAGTGTTCACTGGCTACATGTAGCAGCCTCCAATTATGGAAAGTTAGAAATGAAGCAAGTTCACCACCATGTGATGCAGGACAGCAGCCGTGCATTTTAATTAGGGAAACTGAGCAGCTGAACAACATACAAAGCAGCACAAATTATTCGACTCAAAACAGATTCGCCTTTAAGATGCTCAAAACAACAGCGCTCACAAACGATCCAAAAGCCACTTCTTCCCCGTGGAATTCTGTGTGCTAATAAAAGGCTAAGTATACATGGGCAGCCATGTCCTAAGTACTGGATCTTCTAGCCATCCACTTAGGAAGTGTGAGAGTGAATGTCTGAATTGTGAAGTACTAGTCTCACATTAGACAGTAGGCTGCACAGCCCAGGGAGGGAGGCAGGGTTGCTATGTCTAAGCCCATAGCACTATCTGCCTCTGGCAGGGAGCCTGAGATGAATCTGGCTTACAAGTTTGCTTCAGCCTGTGCTCTGACAATCAAGTTTATTAGAGGGCACAGGTGCTTGAAGATGTGTGCATGAAGTTAGTTTTGCTCTCAAGCAGTCTAACACTTACATACATACAGAAAGACTTACAGAATGATTTTAAAAACAAAGGCCCTTTCATTTCCTCTACTATTTGAGAATGAGTTATTCACATTATAACTCATCATCTACACACACAAACACACACACACACATACATGCACACTCATGCTTCCTCTGAACGACCATGTTTAATCACCACAACCTAGAAAGTATGTCTCAGCACAGTATGCCATCTAATTCTGTCCAGTTGTGCCAGCTGTGCTACGCATGTCCTCATGGCAACCAAATCGGTTTAGAAGCATGAGTGGCCTTCAGCAGGGCTAACTCTTGAGTTCTGTTGGGAAAACTCTCATCTTTCCTAGGTCTGCAGGACCTTGACCATTTTGTAAAATGAGTCTCAGCTGTAAGATGTTTCCTCATGAATCTCAGCTTGTCCTTTATTGACAACGCTTTCTTGACACTTGACTATATCATCTCAGATCTCTGCTGGGCAACCCCTACCACTGGTATTTAAAAAGCATTTTGCAGTATGACATTTTACGTAAGTATTCCATCCCTCAAGCCTTGAATCTAGCTGTTTATTTATCTTGCTACAAGCGCATAGCTTTCATTGTTGTCAGTATTTGCCTTGATGCTCCACACTAAGATCATTGGGAACCTCTTGGCCCTTTACCTTGTTTTTGTGTCTTAAGGACATGCTCCCACCATGTTTTGAAAACTTTCTTAATTTGGGACATGAAAGACATTTTTAGCATCATTGTACCTATTTCCTACCCCAGTCCTGGAAGTAGTCCTTTCTTCACATAGCCAGTGCCCCTTTCTTGGTGAGTATTGACAAGCCAGGTCTGCGAGCCGTGTGTATACTTGCTGCCCCTTGGGATTGCTGACACCAGGCCTTCAGTGATCAGAGCCATCAAGTACCACACACACAGGCCACCACAGGCCTTCATATCTCAAATTACTTTTGTCTTAATACACTTAAAGTCTTAGTTTCACAGTAATGTTTCCAAGTCTAGGCCAACAAAGGAGTCACTCCTGTTCTTTCTCTTTGCATACTGTGACTGACTACACTGCACAAAGGTAAAATCCTCACTCCTAACTTGGGGCTAGGCCTTTACTGTCCAACCCTCAAATGCATGCCTTCCTATCTCATGCTCTGGCACCAAGCACTGAGCCACCACTGTTGGTTCCTTTCAGTTCAGATCTCTGCACGTCCCACCGAGTTACCACATCTCATGTTATGCCTACCTCTACTCTACCACATACATGCTCTCATCTCCTTTGCTCCAACACCCCCAAGAAGTCTGCTGCCCAGTTCAGAATCTCTGTCTTTCCTTCCATCAGATTCCCTTTCTGCTGTATCTAGGGTCTGACAACACAGTGGCCAGGATCCACACAGAAATCCTCATGCTCCATCTTAGGCTATACCACCTGGTAACCCTCATGGTATACATGCATTTCCTCAAATAGAAGCTTACCTCATCCAATAATCACATAACTTCTGGATGGGAGAAGGCAGTTTTTAGGGAACAAATATTCTGGTTTTGTTTGGGCCTTAGTTTCCATAGATATATGATACATGTATGTTTCCTTGTGTGTGCATGGTACGTGAAAGCCACTGGGTGTCTTTCTAGATTGCTTTCCACTTTACTTTGTAAGATGAGGTCTCTCAGTGAATTCAAAGCTCATTTATTCAGCTAGGAGTTATGCCCAATGAGCTCCAGGGATCTGCCTTCCCCTCTGCCTGAGTGCTAGGATTAGATGCAAAAGCTGATGTGCCTGTCTTCCATGTGGGTGCTAGAGATCCGATATCCGAGCTAAAGTCCTAATGCTTGTTGACCAGGTACATAATCAACTGAAATCTCCCTTCCTTTCATCCTGTTCTAATCTGGTAATTAACACTTTTTTTTAATACGCCAGTTGTCAAAAGAGTCCCTGCTCTGTGTTACCATGTTACCATAATTCCTTTGGCCAGAACAAACTTTGTAGGCATCAGGAAAAATACACTCCATAAGCCATATGACTGATCTCAGCTTCCCATACAGCATAAGGCAAGGGCCTCACCATCCCAGAGAACAAAAGCACTGATCTCACAGGGGATCCTTTCCCACAGTTTCCATTTTTCCTTTCCTTTTTTTTTTTTTGAGACAAGGGCTCATGTATCCCAGAGTGGTTTCAAACTCACTTAACTGGCAAGTAAGCTGCTAGCTGTCTGAATCCCCATTTGTAGTTAAGGATGGTTTTGAATTTGATCCTCAAATGCTAGGATTATAGGTGTGCACAGTTTAAGATATATTTTTAAAAGAGTAGTAGGTTGTACTGTTGGTTTAAAAACTAAATGGAGTATAAATGTGCAGTAAAAACATGAGTCAGTCTCCAGTTCAGAGACGTGTTACATGCTTTTATTTATTAAAGACACCTTTCAAACTGAGTGGAGACCTGAATGTCTGACCAAAGCTAAATGTGCATCAGAAATCAATGAATAGATCCCAAGGCAGCCTGCTACCTCATTCATCAAAGATGCCAGTTCATCCATGATAGAATTTTTGACCTGATGCTTCCTTTCACACTGAGTGTGGTAAGCAAGAAAGAAGCCATTTCTATGAACCATTCCTGCCATCTGCTGTGACCTCTGGAATACATCTGGTAGTGAGTATAATCACTCAAAGAAAAGATTTATCCATTGTATACTCACTTTCCAATATCCCACCCCTACCCCTTGCAAAATGGCATTTGCCAAAGCATGTTTCAGGGAACCCAGTAAATCAGAATTCTGATTGTCATGGACTAAAAAACATTTGGGGAAAAATGGGAAAGAAAAGCACTGAGTAACAAAAGCTCCCCTAATGTGGGCCTTTTCAGAGCCTACATTATATGAAATATACGGAGAAAAAAGAAATATAGACTTGGGGCCCTTTAAGGACAATAACACTGGACTATAATTTGTTGTAGTTTTTCCGTTTTGTTTTTTAAGACAAGGTTTCTCTGTTTTAGCTCTCGGTGCCCTGGAATTCCCTCTAGACCAGCCTGGCCTCGAACTCAGAGAGATCCGCCTGCCTCTGTCTCCCGAGTGCTGGGATTAAAGGCCTGGCAGGACTATAATTTTTAATAAAATATTTTCAGAACCAGGATTCTACAGAAAAATCAAAAGGAAAAATACTTATGGCACTGAATAATTATACTATTTATACTATATCACTTTAACTTAAAATGTTGCCTTTTACAAAGAGAAAAACACAAGAAGTTAGATACACAGTCAATTATTCAACTAATAATAGTGAAAATTTTAACTTGGCAAATAAATGACAATTTCAACAAATGTTATCAGTGACAGTGTGGGACTTATTGTGTTGCAAACATGCACTTCACGAAAATAGTGCAATTCTTTTGGAAAGTGGTTTGACAAATGTTTTATAAATGTTTATGTCCAACCCAAGCTTACAACTGCTTATCTGGGATTCTCTTCTTAGAGAAATAATAAAAACTAAAGAAAATGTTTTATATTCAAAGATCTGAGTGGCTGGCCTTCCTCTTTCCATATGCACCCCCTTCTGTGTGTTTGTCTGTGAATGAGGGGGTAATATATGTGTGTGTACGTGTGCAAGCATTCCTTACTCACAGGGGTCAAGAGACATTGGGCGTCCTGCTCTAACATTATCTTTTTCCCTTGAAATAGGGTCTGCCACTGAATCTGGACCTATGCTGGTAGTCACCATGCCCCAGTAACCCTCTTGCCTCTACCTCCCACATTGCTGGGGTCACAGGTACACACACAGCTGTGTCTGACCCTCACATTTCTGCTAGAGTTTTATTAAACTCAGCTTCTCAGGCTTGCACAGCAAGCACCTTTCTACCACGTCACCTCCCCCAGACCTTTGTACTTCTTATAATAATGAAAACAAAAATCTGAAATAATTAAAAGTCCCCATAAGAAGAAACTGTTGCAGTGAGCAAAGGTATAGGATGTAATGTTAGCCATAAAAAAGCATATATACTTGAACAATATTTTCAATAGTGTGGGAGAAATGATTCTGTGCCAATACTTCCCAAATACATGGTACAGACAACCTTTGTCACCCACAGGTGAGAGCATAGGTTAGCACACCATTTCTTCCAAAAGTGATTAAGGCTCAGCAGAATTGTTAAAGAAATTTCAGACCCGTACAAAAATTAGTATAAAAATAACGCAGCGCATTATTCAAATGAGGATTGAGATGGCTAGTAAGTCACCTGCCGGTTAAGTGATCTGTAATATGGCATGAGCAATTCAGCTTTGCCTTTGAGAAATTATACTGAATAGGTTGTCAATTTTCAGGGTTGTTGGGATAATGTTATATTGACACTGTGATCAGGAGCAGTGTAGTTATTCCCTTACCTCAGAAGAAAACAAGGAAAGATGGAAGAAACGACTAAAAATTTTAGCAATGTTTATTTTACGGACAAGGTAAGGCATACTAGGTAAGAGGTGATTTTCTTTTTCCTTCCACTATTTTCCAAAATTCTCAACCTTTCTATGATAGGCACGCATTACTTTTTCCATAAATGTTTTAGTAAAATAAATATAAGGGACATGTTACTTTCATAATTATAAAAATTAAAGTTTACTTGTTAAAAAGAATTATTTTTTTAAAAAAGGCAAATACCTGTCGTTTTGTCGTGTAATCTGCCAAGATGTTAAGGAGCTTATAAAATACCTCGAACCAGGGGAGGTAGCTGAGGAAGACAAAGAAAAACAATAATTATTAGTATTCAGGTCAAAAACTCGAATAAGGACTTAAACCAAAACATTTCAGATTTTCTCTAGATCCTGAAGATTCTAGCTATGACTGCTAAAATCCAATCTGGTTAAACGTTAATTATCTCTGGGCTTTTAAAAACATGCCTGTGTGAGACAGAACACTAATTGTCCATTATGAATTATTCCTGTGCTTCAAAACTAAACCAGGTTCATAGAGAAGAAATTCAAACTAGAGCCTTTAATCAGGCACCATGTTTTACTAGCTAGGCCCCTCCCACCATCCTCACAGTCTCTAGAAAAACATCTATTCAATTCCTATGGTTGGACACACAGGGTGCACAGCATACCCATGGTTGACCTCTGCAAAGTGTTCCACATGCTCTGCATAACAACAACCAATCATGTTAGCATATAGGACCTTCTGCCTCTACTGGTTGCAGCAGGAATGGATAATGGAATGGAATAAAATCTGTTTCCTTGGTCATCTATCAGGTCCTGACCATTGCTCTCCTCAACGCACAGGATGGTCTGCTCACTCTTGAAATTGACCTCTGTGTGACTGTCAGAATGACCTATCAAAAATGCACTCCTAGATGGGTCTGGCCAGAGAGGGAGAAGCTGCACAAGCAGCCAATGAGATATAGCCAGAGGTTTCTTCCCCTAGTCCTTCCCCTAGACACTCAACAATTACAATGACCTAAAATACAAAGTGAAGAAGGGTGGTCTGAGGGCTAAGGGGTAGAAGGTGTGTGTAGCAGATGTGGGGACTCTGCTTCAACAGCAAGGACCTAGGCACGGATCTGCAAGGGTACGTGTAGGACCCAGACACAGAACATCCAAAAGCCTAAGAAGGAATCCTAAAGAAGGCTTGGTGCAAGACCCAGTGCCAGGAGGCCACCTGGGCAACCAAGTAAAGAGCCAAGTCAGGAAAGAGAAAGGAAAGGACTGAGGTCAGGTCAGGATATCACCCAGCCCCTGGTCCTCCTTGGGAGCCCTCCCCTCCCAAAGGCCCAAGAGATAACCCACTAGAGTCTCCTGTAGTCTTGTTAGCTCTGTCCATCATGCCGTGCCTCTGCCTTCTCAATCCCCACACCAAGTGCCCAAAGTGGGGAAGGACAAGGGATTGCGGGAAGCTTGAGCCTCCCATTGAGAAATATGATTTCTAGCACCCTCTTTTGTTCTTTCCCCACTCTGATACCTTTTACTAAGAAATGAATAAGATAAACTGACTTCTCCCCCCCCCAAAAAAAAAAACAAAAAAAAATCCAACTCTACACAGCACATTCCATTACTGCCGTGTCATCCCATTGCTATAGGACCCAGCAGTCAATGCTTCTCAGGAAGGCTTCTGTGGCTTTCTCTTCTCAGGATCCTGACTAACTCTCTGACTCTTCTCTAGAGACATTACACTGGATATACCAGGGATAACCAAGCTTGCCCAAGCCAGCACACTTTGGTCCTTTTCTCCCTCTGCTCTTCATGGACTAGTCTAGTTGATTTCTGCTCACTGTTCTAATAGCCTCATACCCTCTTGCCCCTACTTTTGTGCCCCAATTACTTTTATGGTAGTCATGCATACACTGCGTATTACAATATCCCCTCCCAAAGTAAGACACTCAACAGCATGGTTGAGTTCTCAACAGAATATACAAATACAGAGGGAACATACCTCCCTTCACTGCGTCCTCAGTACCAAGACCAAGAATGGGGTTTGGCCATACATTTTGAGTTCAGAATTTATTGGGAAGCACACATATACTCATTCTCTCTCTCTCTCTCTCTCTCTCTCTCTCTCTCTCTCTCACACACACACACACACACACACACACACACACACACACACACTTAGATGGCAACTAGCAGACAACACGGGTTATTAGTGCCATGGAAGATTGGGTTGGAAGTATCCCCCCCCCCCAAAGAACCCCCCCCGCCCCCCCCCCCCCACTTTAAAGGCTTTGTTTTCGTAGGAACAGTCCCCAAAGTACTGAGAACAGGCAGGAGAGAAGCTTGCTGTGCTGGTCTGCTCACATTTGCAAATGGTGTCCATTACTGACAGATAGGGCTGGACCCAAGGCAGGGCCCAGATGTGACATCCTGCCCAGAAGAGGAGACCAGCACCCTGTATAGATTATTGCTGGATCACTGAGGGTAATAAATGAAGTGAGAGGTAATAGAGAGGACAGATAAAGTGCACAAGCTCCTATCTGTGACGTCTGTGTGAAGCCAGAACATGCTACTGTAAAATTTAAGTAGCTTATCAAATTATACTGATAAGCAACTTAACTTTTCACTTCTATGACAGTATTATCACTTACGTTAATATGTTTCCATCATCTCTGGCAGCCACATATGGACTCTTCCAGAGCAAATGGCTGCTGCCACTCTCCACAGCACTAGCTCTGATGGAGCAATGTAAACATTCAAAAGGGATTAGGCATGAGATAACATGCTCTCTTTCTCTTTTGCTAAATAAACCTCCATGAGCTAAAAGCCATTAAGTAGAACAAGGAATCCCCTCCCAAGAAAACCACACAGATTAGAGGACTCTTAGTAAACACACCCAGGCAAGGGCACAAGTAATTCTTTTCCTGAAAGGAATATCATTAGGTAAACCCAACAATCGAAGTCAGGAAAGAGGAAAGGGCAAGCTGGGTAAAAACAGGCCACAAGCAGAGAAAAGCAAAGCTCAACAACTTTTACCAAAGTGTACAGGAGGCAGTACAGTGGGGCAGCCTCCTTCTCCCAGACTGTGGGACTAAAAAAGTATGTACTAAAGTAGTTTGAGATCACTAGTCAACTCACAGATAGAGCCTGACATGCATCCTGCAGCCTTAGTAGCTGCACCTTGTGAGGACCGCCTGTCCCACAGAGGCAACCCGCTTCACTTCACCAGCCTCTGCCTCACTGAACCAATTCCTTTGGTTATGATAGGCAGAATCATTTGCCACAGACTGCTCAGTAGTTACCCAGGAAGCCAGGCACAACTGTTCCCCACATGTGCTGATTGTTCCCCTGTGTGCTGACAGATGAATGTCTAGTGATGGCAGTACTAGGATTTTGAAATCAAACTGCAGCTGTCTTCTTCAAAGTGTCCCAGCCTCCCCAGAACTCACAGCTGAGTTCTATCTGCTGGCACTTCCTATTCTGCTTCATTAGTACTGGCACCTGGGCTCACTACAAGGTGGCTGCAGGTGAAGACACAGCCCTCACTCCATCCTATGTGTGTCTGTCAGCAGTGAGAAAATGGTACTTCCTAGTCCACACAGGAAACAAGCACTCTATCAGATAACTCCTCTCTGGTCACCTCCTTGGTCCCAAACACTTAGGTCAAGGTATTCTTACATCTCCTGCAACACAGCACAGTGTGGTGGGTTCAACCCAAGTACTAGGACTAAAATGACAAATAACAAAAAGGCCATAGTCCTGGTCCAGGAAAAAAAAAAAAGAAAAACACATAAGAAAGGATGTCTAGGTAGGAGAAGCCATCCATCCTTCCCAAGCATTGTTACTTCATGCCTATAGAGTGAAACAGTATCCTAATGGATCATTATCATGACCCTACCAGCATAGAGGGAAAGGTTGCAGGGAGATACCTACACTGGCCAGCATGGACCCAAGCTCCTCTTGCAGTTCAAGTAGGTTGGCTTTCAGATCTGACTGTCAATGGGGAAGTGCTGTTTTGTGGGAATCCACAGAAAATCTTAAAGTTAGAAGAGTTAAGGTAGTGTCACAGACACCTCTCCATGTGGCCTGGTGGGCACTGTCGGCCCCTGGAGGCAGTGCAGCCATACGTTCCAGATACTTTAACAATGGCCCACTTGACAATCATCCTTAAATGGCCCCATGGTATAGCAGCAACAGTCTGTGTGGACACAAAGCAGCTAGCCTGAGTGTCAGCACAGTCTGGATGAAAATTTCCATTTAACAACGTGTCGGCTTGAATTGCTGCTCAGTCCAGAACGGAACCCAGGAACTGAGTCCAAATGAGGTCAGACTCTGTCTTCTAATCTCCCTTCACTAAATGGATGGTTAGGATAGTCATCTTACCCAGGGGTGTGTGTGTGAGATAGAATTACAGGTCTGTATTTGGCTAACCATCTGAGATGGAGAGTGTAAGAAGCAGCAGCAGAACCCCGCAGCTCAAGAGGGAGAAACGGTGATGACAGCAACAGAAATGGTGTGGAAAGCCAACGAGAATAAAAAGATCATCTGGGAGGCAGCCTTGTGTGGCAATGATGAGAGGAGGGCAGCAATGCAGGGCAGCCAGAAAATATGCAGGCAAATGAAATAAAATGTCTGTGGTAGGAGAAGGTGGCAGTTTCCTCTAAAGTATGTGGGTCAACATACAGTGAGGTAATGCAGCCATGTAGGAAGGAAGGGGTAGCAGGAACCTGGTGACATATAAGGAAAGTGATCAAGTAACTAAACATGCAGTAGAAGACAAAAGAATTAGAAATAAATGGTTAGGGAAGAAATAAGAGTGAATCCTGGCTGGATACAGCTGTGAAATCACAGCATACAGAGAGATAAGACACAGAAATATAAATGCAAATATGCACATTCAGATCTCTCTCTCTCTCTTACACACACACACACACACACACACACACACACACACACACACACAGAGAAAGAGAGAGAGAGAGAGAGAGAGAGAGAGAGAAGATTGAGTGACACAGAAGGCCCTTGAGAAGAAATGTTTTAATTAAAATGGGCACTCTAAGTGCCTAGATGTTGGCTTATAAATAAGCATTCTCTACTAAGAAGGAGGGTTCTCTAAAGAAATGTCTGCTTCCAAGATAAGAGCTAAGAAATGCTTTATGCCATATTAAGCAAGGCAGTGTTAAACATATGGTCAGGACGTATCAATAGGACACAAAAGTTGGTGAGGACATTCCACTGACAAGATCTGTGACAATCTGAACATCAAAGTTCATGATAGGCAGATAAACATGACAAACAGAACGTTTGC